ATAGAGGAATTTGTAGTTTGTAAATGACACATTAGCAAAATAGGTAAAACTAGATTGTTTTGGAAAATCTGTCAATTGGAGGACTTAAGTGGAATATTAAAGGCTAAGGTTGATATGAAATACAGGGAAAGGATAAAAATAAGCAATTTAAAGAAGAGTTAAAACAAATTGATAAGAATTCTAGGTGAATTAGTTCACCAAAGTGCATTGAATTCCAAGAGTGACAAATTGGTCATTGTAAAATTATCTAACTTCAAATGCAAAACTGTAATTGTATATAATAATTAAAATACATGGTTGGATATATAATTGAATTATATTTCTAAGGGTATAAAGAAATCGAAAATCCGATGAGTAAATTAAAAGTTATGATTAGATTACTACAAGGTGTATAATATGCCAAAAGAGAACATGTTTAGTGTCAAATCGTTAATTGAGCTGGAATTTCTAATGTATTGATTCTAATAACCTCCCTATGTTGTCTATAAATTTCTAGAGCAATGAATTGAGGAAGAAGCTGAAAGAACTAAGGGAGGATCCACTAAAGATAGGCAAAAAGGAATAATAATTCAAGGATAACTTGGAGTATTGTGAGTGTAACTATACTTGGATTGGGAATTAGGTCCCAACCACCTTTATTTTTATTTATATGTTTAATTGCTTATGAAATCAGTATACTAATAATGAAATTAATTCATATTAGAACTTAAAATTAAGGGAAAGAAAGATTAATAAAAGGCTATAAGTTATTGAGTGCCATATTAAGTTAATTGGAAAATTGGTTACCGCTTGTTGCCTTGATTTAAATTGAATTGGTTTGTGAATAAATGCATGTTACCATGATTGAATCAAATTAAATGAAGAACTATTGTATGCTTCCATGATTGAATTGAATCGAGTGGTGAATTATTGCATTCTACCATGATCGGATCAAGTTGAATGATGAACTACAGTATGTTACCATGACTGAATTGAATTGAATGGTGAATTATTGCATGCTACCATGATCGAATCAAGTTGAATGATGAACTATTGTATGATTCCATGATTGAATTGAATCGAATGGTGAATTATTGCATGCTAACATTATCGAATCAAGTTGAATGATGAACTATTACATGCTGCCAAGATCGAACTCGATTGAATTGAAATCATGAATGAACAAATTGTTACTTTCTGCCATGATCAATTTGAACTTGAATGAATAATTTTAACATGGAATAAACCTTGATGGTTATGTTATGAAAAAGAAAATAATGATTTCTTGGCAAATAAGATTCAATGTCCTTGGTTAATAGTTAGTCCAAGATATGAGGGCATGCCTTAGAGTCTAGAGCTCGATTGTGAGTGGGGGACTACGGTCCAGCACTACGGTGCTTATTGGCGATAGACGGAGGGTACGTTATGTGGTCTTTGGTGAAAATAGGAGGGTTTACCAGTACTATGATTCAATTAAAGTGTATGGTGACATTTGGTTGGAGACTTGATTTTCTAGACTGAACTAGAAACCAAGGCTTAAATTGCAGGGTCGGGGCTAGGACGTTGGAGGCCCTGTGCAAATTCTTAAAAAGGGGCCCTTAGTAAAAATTGCAAAGCTTGAATGCAGTATATATAGGGAGATTGGTGATATTACTAACTCAAATCCTAAGGGTGTGGGATAGGGAGATCATGAAGATGAGCTCATTTCTCGTAAAGTGGAGTTAGACCCCAAAAAATGATATTTTTATTATAATAAATATAATATTTTTGGGGCCCTTGCTATTATGGGGCCCTGTTCGGTCGCACAAGTTGTGCTACCTCTAGCCCCGCCTCTGTTAAATTGAATGATAAGATTAAATTGGAATAATTATGTATACTTACATGAATTACATATTTTGATTATAAATATGTATGTGAGTATGTGGTGAAATGTTCTTGTTCGAATAGAGGGAATAATATTATACATATTGTATTGTTTAATATGATTGCCATATAGATTGCATGAATACATATGTGATGAATTATTTCTAGCTCAAGTGGACAAAAGATTGAAATGTATTATTAGTTGGTTAGATTGATTACTAAATTACATGTATATGATTATGATTTTTTTCTTCTTGTTTGAAATTGATGCAAGATTAATTTGGAATGTTTTAAATTGAATATAGTGACTCATGAAACCCAAATATTAATTGAATGTTAAAGATAAATTAAATGGTTTAAATGGGAAAGGTCTAATAGAATTAAGTGTTACCTCACTAAGTAATTTAAGTACTTATCGCTCTTGTTCCTTTCTTTGCCAAACCATAGGTTATAGAGTATTCAAAGCTCCAGCTCCATGGTTAATCAACCCAAAGGAAGAATTCAAGTATGGATTGTTTCGTTATCCTTATACTCATATTTGGTGGCTTAGTTTTGAGTATAATGATTCAAATTTCATGCATATGGTGGTAATAAAGTTGTATACAAAATGTACCTAATAACCTAATGAAATAGTATAGTCTGTGGAGTTAATAGACCCTAATGTATATATATAGTTAATGACTCTTTTTGAATGTATATAGCTTACTAGTATTTCATTTGGTATAATCCATTAACGGTATATTTTGTAATGTAAATATATAAGTTGATTATGAAAGGATGATGTATGTTAAGTTCATTAATTCCTGGATATGCATGTAGTTTATATTAAAAACCGGCTTAATGAATTGTATATCGGAATTAAATGAAACTACCTTAGCTAAATTGGGATTCATGTCTTAATCGAATTAATTGATAAGTATATTGATTAAGTTTTGTTAATCTTGTATTCGAATAAAAAATGGCTCTTCAATTGTATTGTCCGTTGCGTATGTCTGATTCAATGTTCAATAATCTTGTTCTTACTTATGGTCTCAGTAATGCTTCTAGTTCTGGATTTGGGTTAGGGGACGTTACAGTAACAAAAGAGGTAAAATAAAAATGGCTCGAGTTAATAATGGGGGTAAAACAAAGAAAGGATTTAAAGGCTCAAATTAGGTTATCTAAGGGCAACGTTTTAAAAAAAGGTTATCTAAGGGTAAATTAATAAAGGGTAGGGAATCTTTGGGAAGAAAAATGGCTAAATCCTAAGTTCCCTAATAACTCTCCAAAAGAGTTATATTTTATATCCTTTTTACTTAGGTTAAGATTGCACTCTAGAATATTTAGGATCATTTTTAGATTAATTGTAACATATTTTACATCATTTGCATAGTGGGAATGAATTGCTGGTACTTAGGCTGATTTTAATTTTTTTTGCTGCAAAACTGATGTTGTGACATTATAATGTTATAGCCAATACTGAGCGATGATGCTAGACTAGATTCTGCAGCAACTGTTAAATCACAAGGTGATTGGAGAACTTTTAGGAAGAAATAAAGCTGCGAGATTAAAGGCTGGAATTTGAATTCAAAAAGAATTATAATAAAAAAGGAATTTTCATAAAAAAGGAATTTTCCTATTGGTGTAAAGTTTGAATTTAATAGGCTATAAATATAATATTTTCTCAACATTTTGATAACTTGGAAAACCCTATTCGCATTTTATTTTTACCATCTCCATGGCCACCTAAGCAATTCACCAGGGAGTGCAGCAACCATCGAGGAGCATTGTCGTGTAACGGCGGTAATCAAGAATAGTTCTACTTTATTTCCATCCCTTTTTTTTATATAAGGGAGTGACGATTGTTTAGTAGAATAGTTATATTTATAATATTCTGGATGTTATTTGATTTTTGAACATAAGGTTTTTGATTTAATGTCTCTCGTTATGTTTTATGTTTAAACTTTGTTTTCACGTGATGTCGTGTTTATGGGAAGATTTTAAAAATAAATCTATTTTTATGTATGTGATTTTTATAATTTTTAGAAATAAAATTTGTGGATATTTTTCATACCATCTTTATGCAACATTGGTTTTTGTGAAAGCAAGGTTAGTATATATAAATGTATGTTGCCAATTGTCCAACATTGTTAACTAATTAATTAAATTGAATTAATGAATGTTGATTCTTAATAATTGATTGGTGTTAATCATGGTGAGACACATGAATGCACTATTTTATGCATACCCATAGTGGGAACGACCAAATAACACCCACATCCATTAAATCTTTGATCTGTTGCTCTTCTGAATGTTGCTGCACTGCCTGACGTTTACTATTCTTATTTCTTTACTTGTTGTCTGTTTGCTATTCCATCAGTTCAACCTTATATCTTTTGAAATATTTCATGTAACTCTTTTTTAATTTTTTTCTCTCCGTGGGTTCGACATCTAAAGCTTTTATAGCTTCCACTTTATTACTTGGATACGATAGTGTATGCTTGCACTTTGCTGTAGTATTATCATAACATTGGTTTTACTTTAGAGTTATTTTATTTGTTTATTTCTTTTTGTAGACTTAACTTTTCTAGTTTCGTTTGTTTATGCCCCGAAGTGACAACGAGCAAGAGTCTTTTGATCCGAAAATAGAACGAACACTCTGACACTGTCGAAAAGAAGCTGTGGGAAATCAACAAACATGAACGTTGGAAATGACAACAATGTTCTACCTCCGCTACAACATGGAGATGATGCTAAAATATCGGCTAGCAACAGTGATGGGTCGCATGAATTCTACAATATGGATGATCGCAACCGACCCATCTGAGAGCATGTAGTGCAAACTTGATGATCTATATCCTAGCATTGTACGACCAGTAATACATGCTGCTAATTTTGAGCTAAAACTGGTGGTGTTTCAAATGCTCTAGTCCATGGGCCGATATAGTGGGTCATTTACTGAATATCCTCGAGCATATCTTCAAGCTTTTATGGAAGTATGTCATTCATTTGTTTAGCAAAGAGTTCTTGAAGAGGCATTAAAGCTGAAACTATTCCTTTTTTCGCTGTGAGATAAAGCTAGAGCATGGTTGACATCGCTGACACCTGATGTTATAGTATCCTGGAACGAGCTAACATAAAAGTTTTTGCTGCAATTCAATCCACCAAATATTAATTCAAAGCTACGAAACGATCTTACTTCCTTCAAGAAGTTAGAAGATGAAAGCTTGTATGAGGCATGGGAAAGATTTAAGGATTTTCTACGAAAATATCCAATGCATGGATTTCTACATTAAACGCAAGTGTAAATGTTCTATAATGGGTTGAACATGCACACTTGTATAGTGGTTAATGCTTCAGCAAACAGAGCATTGTTGGACAAGACATATAATGAGACATATGATATTTTGGAAAGAATATCAAACAATGATTATCAATATGCCAACACGAGGAAAATTGTTGGAAGACGTAATGTTGCATTAGTGGATTACGATGCTTTCAATTCCATGGCTTCCTAAACCACAACATTGACGGACATAGTGAAGAAGCTACAAAAGTAGAGAGGTATGTATGAAGTAAAGACAACATACCATATGTCATATGTCTATTGTGGGGATGATCATAGCTAAAAGGAATGCCCCCAAAATCCTGATGTGAAGAATTACTATAGGAATGATAATTCCTATGGCAACACTTACAATGCCAATTTTCGTAACCATCCTATTTTTTCGAAGGAGCCAAAATGTTAATAATCCAAAATAGCAGCATTACAATCAACCACAACAGTATAATCAACAACAGACGATTCCACAACCTCTGTTACAACATAAGGCTACACTTCCATAGCAAAGGTAAAACTATCAAGGTTAATCCTCAGCACAAACTTCCAATTTATCATCTCTCAAAGACTTAATGAGGGAGAACATGGCAAGTTAATCGACATCATTAAGAGCTTTATAGAACCATGTTGGCCAAATAGCGAATGCCTTGAGTAATAGACTACAAGGAATGCTACCCAACAATACTGAAAATCCAAAGCAGCATGGGAAAGCTTAATGCAATGAGTATTGCAAGGCTATTATTACTCGAAGTGGTCTCCACATTGGAAAACATGTTGAAAATCCCAAGAGGATTATTGATGAAGGGGCTACTAAGCATGATAAGGGAAAAATCATCGAATTGGAACTTGAAACACCCACTATTAGTGTCACAGAAAGAGAAACATGAAAGTGTAGTGATTATAGACTATTGCCAGCAGCAATGCCTACCACACTGCCAGATGCTTATTTAGCCTCAATGCCACAACAAAAACAAACAACATTTCCAATCCCAATGCTATAGCAATCACAAAAAAAGATGCCACCTCATTTTCCTCAAAGATTTAAGAAAACTAAGGAGGATTAGCAATTAAAGCGTTCATTGAGGTGCTCAAGAAACTGACAATCAACATTCCATTGATCGATGCTTTGGAGCATAACCCAAATTACATCAAGTTCATGAAAGAAGTTTTTTGCAAGAAGCAAAGACTTGGTGAATTTAAAACTATTGCACTCATTGAAGGGTGTAGTACCACGGTGGCAAGTAGATTGCCACCAAAATTAAAAGATCCAAGGAGTTTTACTATCCCTTGTATTATTGGTCATCGATTTGTAGGAAGAGCATTGTGTGATTTAGGTTCCAGCATTAATCTAATACCTTTATCTATTTTCAAAAAAATTTGCATTGGTGAGACCCAACGTACTGCCTTGACACTTTAACTTACTGATCGGTTCATTGTTCACCCCGAGGGCATAATAAACAATGTGCTAGTACAAGTGGATAAATTAATTTTTCCTACTGATTTCATTGTTCTAGACTGTGAAGCTGACAAAGAAGTGCAATCATACTTGGCATACCAGTCCTTACTATAAGTAGAGCAATAATCAATGTTGAAAAGGGAGAACTTACTCTGTGTCTTAATGAAAGCACATTACCTTTAATGTTTTAAATCCTATTATGAATGATGATGGTACTGAATATCATTCTATTAACATCATTGATGAAATTGTGCAGGAACATATGGACAAATGTTAAAGCATTAAGGTTGATACTCCTAATATCGCATCAATAGTAGAATCACACAAGTTAGAGGGGAACCAATGTTTCTACATTGATCCTGACATCAACAGTATTTTTGCACTTCATGGATGATTCTAGCAAGCAATAGTTTTGCTATGAACAATGTTGTGATCCCACAAGCAAAAAAGACCTAGGGCATTGTGATGAGGGCACAACAATAATAGGCAAACATAAAGAAGAATCATTTTATTAGGACCCAGGTGAAGGAATACCACATCATCATCTGTTGCATCCTCAATTTTATCTTGATGTTGCTGCCCACTAACTTCCACAATTCTTCATAAGCGATATTGTCTATCCTACTAGCAACACTAACCTAAGGACACCCAACTTGGGAAGTATAGTTGTCTTTTTTCCCATATTTTGTTTTGTTTTGTTTTATTTGATTTTATTTGTCTCTTTGTTTGTATGCATTGAGGACAATGTGTATCTTAGGTTTGGGGGGTGTTGTTCGTTTTTCATATTGCATTTGCATTTGTTCTATCATGTTCCATGTATTTTCCTTTGTTCTGTCATGTTCCATGTATTTTCCTTTGTTCATCCAAGCTTTCCATGACATTTAGATAGCAAGACAATTGCCAAGACTTTGCACTTACCTATGATGAGATAAATGCAAAGAGCAATCTAATGCCAATAATCTTATAATTTATAGATAACTTGAGATTGCCTTAATGATTCTTGTGATGCTTTAATTTTTTACCGAATGTCTTGCTTGCTTGACTTGTGGGTATTTTGGAGAATATTTAGTTATCTTGCATGTTTAAAAAAAAAGAGATAGATACTAAAAAAAAAAAAAAACTATAAGTTCTGTGTGAATTGCTAGAGGTGCCCAACTGGCTCTAGCCATATAAATTATTCACAACAATCTTTTAGCTTTAGAACACTCTGCTTCTAAGACAAGTTTGGTACGCTTAGTGAATGCTACGTAGGAAATATAGTCTTGAATAGCATGAGTGCATGAAAGTCTTAATGGGATGACTCTACCTAAAAGGCTAATGTGTTCGTTGTTTACAACATCTTGCTACTCAAGTACTCGCAGGTAGTTATGATGAGCTGCAACTCTGGTTAATCTGATATTAATTGTTGTAACATCTTTTACTTTATTAATTTGATAATTATGATATTCTCTAAAAATACCCACGGTGGTGAACTGTCACGACTAAGAGCACACACATGCACTAGTATTATAAGTTGATTTGAGTTGATTTCTTTTTGCCTTGAGATTCGAAGGTGAGTGGTAGAAAATTGCTATGATTTTGAGGTGAAAAGTGCAATGTGAGCATAAGAGTGATGTTGTCTAATTGTTGTGAGAAAGTTGTTTTCATGCATTGCTTGAGGACAAGCAAACAGTTAGGTTTGGGGGTGTGATAACTCTCCAAAAGAGTTATATTTTATGTTTGTACTCTAGCATGTTTAGGATCATATTTAGATTTATTTTAACATGTTTTGCATCATTTGCATAGTGGAATGAATTGTTGGTACTTAGGTTGATTTTAATATTTTTGCTGCAAAACTGATGTTGTGACATTTTAATGATGTAGTCAATGCTGAGCGCTGATGCTATACTAGATTTTGCAGTAACTGCTAAGTCATAAGGTGGTTGGAGAAAGTTTAGGAAGTGATAAAGTTGTTGGATTAAAGGTTGTAATTTGAATTCAAAAATAAATTATCATAAAAAAAAACGGAAAGTTTGAATTTAATGGTCTATAAATATAATATTTTCTCAACAGTTTTCCCATCTTGGAAAACCCTAGCCACGTTTTATTTTTATCATCTCCATGGCCGCCTAAGCAATTCATCAAGGAGTGCAGCAACAGTCAAGGAACACTGTCGTGTAGCAGCGACGATCATGAGGAGTTCTACTTTATTTTTGTCCATTTTTTGAGATACGGAAGTGACGATTATTTAGTAGAATAATTCTATTATTCTAGATGTTATTTATTTTTTGAACATAAGGTGTTTAATTAAATGTCTCTCATTATGTTTTATGTTTAAACTTTGTTTTTATGTGTTGTCGTGCTTATGGGAAGATTTTAAAAACAAATCTATTTTTCATAGTTTTTATAGTTGGATTTTTCATACTATCTTTATACATCATTGCTTATGTATGTGATTTCTATAGTTTTTAGAAATTAAAGTTATAGATTTTTCATACTATTTTTATACAACATTGGTGTTTGTGAACATAAAGGTTAGTATATAGAAATGTATGCCGCCAATTGTCTAGCATTGTTAACTAATTAATTAAATTGAATTAATGAATGTTGATTCTTAATAATTTATTGGTGTTAATCATTTAGAGACATATGAATGCACTGTTTTAAGCATATACATAGTGGGAACGACCAAATAACACCCACATCCATTAAATCTTTGATCTGTTGCTCTCCTGAATGGTGCTACACTGCCCGACATTTACTATTCTTATTTCATTACTTGTTTTATGTTTTAAATTCCATCAATTTAACCTTATATCTTTTGAAATCTTTCACACAACTCTTTTGTAATCTATTTTTCTCTTTGTGTGTTCGACATCCGAAGCTTTTTATAGCTTCCGCTTTATTATCTGGATACAATAATGTATGCTTTCACTTTGCTATAACATTATCATAACATCATGCCCCTATCACAGTTAAAAAATTAAGTTCAAACACTTAGTCTCGATAAGTATTAAATTACAAGTTCTAAAATGTCAAAAACTAGTCTGACTAACTTAATTAAACAATGAGCGAGAATGAAAATATATGATCGTTAAGCTCAAACCTCACATGAAAAGGTGAAATATGTATTAAATCAAGAACATATCAATCAACAAATGCATGGAATGTCAAGTAACAATTTAATGAAAAATACTATTCATGCCAAATAACTATAATGCATCCTAATTTCAACAAAAAACGAGATCACAAAACATAAGGTAATCAAAGATATAAAACAAGATGTAGGATAGATAACAAGAAATTCTAACATATCAATCAAGAAAGCTCAAATTCGAACAATCAAAAAGCAAAGAAAAATTCTATGCAAATTCTACCCTCTCACTTAAATCATATTGTCCCAATATGTAAACAAAATCACAGGAGAGGGAATAGAAACACTCCCTGTTCTAATGACAACAATGGTCGCGGTCCCGATGAGATGTGCCCGGGAGAAAGTAAGACAG